GCCACTGCGCCCGGCTTTTTTTTTTTTTTAAAGTTTCAATTGACACATACCACCTCTGGCCCAAGTGGACCACATGGTTATGTGTGCCCTTTGGTACAAGATACATCACGTCTCCGAGAACTCAGGTGTTTTTCTGATCATGGAGAATTAGATTCCACATATAACTTCTATTTAGGATCTGCAAATTAGGTTTCATAAATTATATTTGGCAAACATAGATTCTAAGTGAAAATACTCTAAAGTACTATCATTTATGTTTAAATCTTTCCTCCTGAGAGTTGATGTCTGACCTTTCACTCATGGAAAATATATGTATTGTTGAACCACTAATCTAGATTCGAACACCATCACCAACCAGCCTCTCTCTTTCAGTTGACATCTGCATTTGACTGTTTAGTTTTTGGTGTCTTTAGGTAAAGTTGTGAAATACCCACACTCTTCTCAAGTTCTTCATGTCTTTTGGTTTTTAGTAAACCTTTTTGTGACGTTGTCTTTGAGAACAGAGGTCAACAAACACTTTTTTAATGGAATAGGTAGTAGATATTTCAGGACTTGGAGACCACGCAGTCTCTATCCTAACTACTCAACTCTGCCGTTATAGCACAAAAACAGCCATGCACAATATATAACGAATGACTCTGTGGCTCTGTTCCACTAAAACTTCATAAAAATAAGCAGCTGGGCAGATTTAGCATGTGGGTCGTTGTTTGCCAATCCCTGATCTAGAAGAAAAGAGTTTTGTGTAATTATATGTTGGGTAATAAACATACAAAACCATCTCAGGAATCCCTAATCTCTTCCTCATTGGGAACTCTTCCCAGTATCCCCAATACTGGTGGGAATGAGATGAAAAGGGCCAGGAGCACCATTACTTAAGCAGATAGTCAACCCTCTTTCTTTCCCCGTGGAAATCCCCTCTGCCTACAAGGAGGAGAAGCAACTAGTTTGAAAGCTGCCAGCCAGTCCGTTAACTTAGGAAATTCTAAGCCCCGCTCCAGTCACTTTGCATCAACTCTAAGATACAAATGAAGTAAATGTTATTTGTAATCCTACCAAGTCTCGTAGCTCTACGTGCTTGAGGTTAAACTTTCATGTAAGCACTAAATTTACTTTAGGTTTACAGAAAATTACACCGCAATTGGTACAATGGTTGTGGGGGGATGGGGATAGAAACAGGGAGAAGTGAAAGTGAAATCTTGGTCAAAATTGGATATCACCCAAATAAGCTGGGAAATGAGAGGTGCTGCAGAATGGTTTTCTGTTATAAAGTGCATCTACACTGATAATTTGTGTTTTATGTGCTTTTAAAATGAGGCTTTATTGGCTTGATTTCTGTGAGAAAAATCACTAATGGGCTGATAGTATCACTCTACTTCAACATGCAAGAGAATTGCTCAGGCGCTTGTCAGATGCCTGAACCACATACTTATTTGAGAATGTGCCATCATGGGAAGCTTTCCTTCACCAAGGTCACTGAGAGGGCAGCAGAGGGAAGCATGTTGAACTTCAGATGGTTCTGGCTACTCATGTCAGTAGCAAAACAAGGAAGGAAGGAGCTGGCTTGCCCCAAAATTAAAAGTTCAGAGAAAACGGGCTTGTTTTGTTTGGAAAAGGCAGATAAAGGAGCAGTAACTAAAGAATCCTCTTTTTTATTATTATTGTTGCTCAATTTATAAACCTAAACAGAAAATGTGTGTTGCCTTATTTTCTCTTCTACAGATAATTTTCTTGTAAAACATTGTAAATATTAAACTACATTATAAATACAGAATTTTTTAGGGCTCCTTTTAAAGACTACAAAATTTTTTATACCAAAAAAAAAGTATTTTTTCTGTATTTATTTTACAGATTAGTAAATGAATGAAATTTTGGCTTTAGGTTTTTGGTTTTTT